TATTTATACTAATTGCTCATCTTCCTGAGCTCTGACTTTATGAAATTATGCATGCACACCAAGCAGATGAGTTTCCATAGAAACTCAGGAACTGAACTTTCATTAGAATTTTTTTTTTTTAAATCTTCCAGATAAAAATGCAAATTGGCCTGTCAGTGGGTGGCTTTCTGAATTTATATATATTTTTTTTCTTTTGCACTGTAGGCAGAGTCCAGCTGGACCTACATAGCAACAACATACAGGCATTGTTTATAGCAAGCCAGACTCCACAGGGAAATAAGAAATTCAGTAGCAAGAAGAAGCTCTCAAGTGCAAATACCTCAGGGAAACAAAAAACTGAAGTGCTCAGTGCTTGCATCTTTGTGAGGCTTGGGGATTGCGCAGCCTCCAGCTCTCACAAAATGCTTGTGGTTTGCAAGGAGCAGGGTGGGGAGGAGGGGAGAGAAGAAACTCAAAGCAAGAAACTCTCCTGCACGCAGAATTAGTGATGTTCAATCCGTCCTTTAAACACCCAGCAGCATATTTCTGCCGGTTCAGTTAAGCCTCACTGGGAAGGCTGACACCATCTGTCGCAGCTCACTCTGGGCGAAGGAGTAGGTCTCAGTGCTGGAGTGTGGGAACGTTGGTGGGGCCTGGGTCAGAGGGTGGATTGGCCACACCCTGCCCACCTCTTGGGCTGAGGCCTGAAGCCTGGCATCTTTTGCCCACACCACATGGAAATCCAGGCCCGTGGGCAAGAAGGGGCCACGGGGCAGTTCTTGGCCAGAAGAAGCAGGAAGCAGGATGGTGGGCATGCCTGGGAAGGGCCATGGACCTGGGCAGTCTTTGGCATGAATGGTTGCGCATGTACGCAAGGAGGAGGTGGGAAGTCTTCACCTCCTTTAGCAAATGTTTCCTTCCTGTGTTTCTCCCCAAAAATCATGTAACAGTTTTTCACTCATGCAGTATACTGCAACGTCAACAGGAGGCTTTCCCTTGGCTTCAAGGAGCCTGAGATCACCCTTTCTGAGGGTTCACAGATGTTTTTTCAGCTAAACTGGCGTTCTTGAAAGCACTGAATACCGACAAGCAAATGTTCACGTGTGCTGCGCTTACTGGTGGGCTACGCTTCAGCATCTCCCCCAGGTGAACACGGTACCTGGGGTTTGCCTGCAGCCTCCTCCCCGCACTGCAGAACAGCCGCAGGGACCATTCGATGCAAAGCGCTGTCCTGCTTGGGCACAGGCAAAATGAAATGCAGCGGCTTCGTGCTGGGGAGCCGTAGGGAGCAAGCCCCGCTAGCCGCTGGTCCTTGACCAGCAAGGGTGCCGGGGCAGACGAGGGAGCTGTGCTGCACGAGCAGTTTACGATGAGGCGGATTTCACTGCAGCATTGCCGAGAGGCGCGACATGTCAGCCGGGGAGGGAATTCCCCTCCTCGTTGGAGAGGGATGACAGGCAGCAGCTGCACGGCCTTGTTGGAGCTGCGGCCCCCCGGGAGCATCGAGAGGCTTAGTGTCAGGGTGAGGACAGCGATGGGTCCCCGGCCACCAGAGAGCACAATTGGGTCTGCTCGGTCAGCACGACAGGAAGAGTTTTTAGGAAGAGTGGTTTTGTGGTTGAGGACAAACTTGAGCTGAGATAGCTCCTGTCTATTCTTGGCTCAGCAGCAGATTTGCTATGGCCACACTACTTGCCCTTTCTGTGCCTCATTATCCCTGTCAAGCAGGTGACTCAAATTATAATTGCACAAATTCCTTCCAGTCTGTCATTACGTGCCTGCGGTCCTCCCCGGGCAGCTACCTCCAGAGGAACCGGCCTCTCCCGTTGGGGTACCTCTGTGCCACCTGGGCCTGCTCGCAAGGGGACGGTAAGATTAGGCCCCGTTGCCTCATCATTTTCCAACAGAGCGAGAAACCTGTAGGAAAAACATCCCCACTGCATCTTTAGATGATCAGATTTGATACGGAGTTGATTATTCAGGTCAAGGTTCTGGGCAAGAAAGAGGCAGTGAAACTTTTCACAGTACCACCGATACTTGATTAAATGGGTATTTCTTAATTTTTCTCTCAGGCAAGGTCATGTGTTTCTGTAGTTTATGAGTACTTTATGAGTACTATCGCTGGCTACAGGGCCTTAGTCATGCTGAGGCACCCTGCATCTAACGACACTTCTGGGAGAACAAACGAAACAAGACAAAGGCAAGATCTTCACTACGCCAAAAGTGTCACCGTTCTTTCATCAGAAATGTACCTGGGTTCTGATTGCAAGAGATCTCAGGTTTCTTAGGTCTTTTTGTATCAGCTGAGGGCAACTGGATCCATTAAAGGTGAAGCGAATGCTTTTCTTCATATATGTATGACTGCATCCACGTAGTACGTAGTCCCAGGAAAAGCAACGGGGCCGGGCAGTCATCTCGCTTCCAACTTTTCTGCGGGTGAGTGCAGGCAGAGGCCATGCAGGGCTTGGCAGATGACATGAAAGTGTTGGCGGCTTCTTCCACAGGCCACACCTGGATGAACCCGGTGGGAGGTTCGTCCTGGTGTGTGCACCTTCGGGAGGAAGCAGAAAAATGCCACTAAGGCGTTGTGGCCTGCAAAGCCCACGTGACCATCTGGGCTCGGTGTGGTTGACTGCTGTATAATTAAAAGAGAGCCTGGCTCATTAGATGCTTTGTGGGTTCAGACGCATCCATGCGAGCCCTATAGGAAAACATGTTCTTCCTACCACTTCTTTCATCCTCCCCCTCCTGTTCCTTCCAGATGGTTACACCCACTTGTGTCTTTTCTTACCCTAAGGACAGCTTTTTAAACAAGGTTCCTCCGTCCTTCTCCTCCCCCACGCTGCGTTAGGATCTGCCCCGGAGCGCAGGAGGACGGAGAGCCCCGTGCTGTTACACACAGCTTGCCCCTGGAAGGCTGGAAGGGGTCCGCGTCCCTCTAGCCCCATTTGTTGAGAAGAAGGATCTTTCCAGATGGTCAGGATGTAGGAGCTGAGAGACTTCACCTCAGCTGGGTGTTCCAGGTGTGCAAGAGTTAATTTAGATACTCGGTGTAATTGAACCTGTGTATATTTTCCTGGGGATTAGAAGCCGGTGTAGCCTCCTCCGGGACAGAGGGATGCTTAAAGGGGCCGTAGCCTTTCCTCTACACAGCACCCGTACACGCTCTCCCAGTAACACGCAGCAGGAGCACTTGCAGAGCTGGATCAGTCTCAGCTTAAAAAAAATTATCTTCACAGTTGTTTTTTTAAATCACACATCACAAACAAAACAAGCAGAGCTTAGCAGCTGATTGCTGCTCTTCCTCAGAAATAGGTGGAGATCCCACCCCGTAGGACTCCTGCGCCTGCGCTCGTACGTCTGCCCGGCTTGCTGGGAGCTCGGGGCGCTCCGTTTCGTCCTCTGTTTTGCGCCATTGTTAACCGCTCGTCGCTTGTTTGTTGACAGGGCCTGGTGCTGAGCAGACTTGGACGGAGGGACCTGGCCCAGAAAGTCCTCAGAGATGCCATCCGGATCCAGACCACCAGTCACAGGGCCTGGAACAGCCTTGGAGAGGTCTTGCAAGCTCAGGGGAAAAATGAAGCAGCCATCGAATGCTTCCTCACCGCTCTGGACCTCGAATCCAGCAGTCCTGTCATCCCGTTCACTGTCATACCCAGGGAGCTCTGAAGCTTTTCCCTGCAGCTAAGCACCTTCATTCCATGGACAGACACCAAAACCAAACAAATAAAGAAAAAGCCCAACAGAAAAGTGCCATTGTAACCTGGAACAGGGCAAGATAATTCCAGGATGGGGCTCAGGTCTACATGCTTAGCTGAGACAAGCCTAACTGTAGACGAATTTGCAACAGGCAGAAATAGAGAATGCCTTTTTCTTCACAGGTGCCTGGCTAACCTCCTGTTCAAGTTAATAGCAAGGCTTATTTCAAAGTGTTGGTTCAAGGTGACTGTCTGTAGAATGTACTCCACGTGCTGGAGTACAGCTGTTCTAAGCACTTGCACCTTTCAATTTTCATTAAAGATAAAAACCCCAAGCCCGAAATTAAAACCCAGACCTGCTCTAAACAGGAGTATAAGCACCAACTAACTTGACCAAGTTGTGCTTAAGCATGTGGCTGCCTCCACACAGATCTGACAGGATAGGAATGACCATTAAACCATATAGACGTGCAGTATATGCTGTTTACAAAATTATTTCAACTGTTTTGATAATCCTTTTTCCTGCCTTGTTCTTATATACTGCATATGCTCACTATATTTAGTGTGGTGCTTGCCTAGACCAATTTAAATTAAAAATACTATTTTTTTTAAAAAGCTGCTATTACAGGATGATTCACAAAAGCAGAAAGACCAAAGACCAAATCAGTTCACACTTGAACTAGTATTAAAAACATATATGTATCTCCAATTACATATTTATCGAAAGGGCTTACATGAAATAGCTAATTGTAAACTCTGAGCTTCATTCTTATTAATCGACTATTGCATCACTTCTAGTGAGGAATATAGTGATTACCAGTATATAGTGACTGAACTCTGCGCTCTACTGCATTGCCATTTCTGGCACAAAACATTTTCATATCCATCTTTTCATGATACAGAAGATGGCAGCAGTCTTTTAAGGGAAAGTATGCTTAAGGCAGTATGTGTATATATGAATTACTTCTTTCTTAAAACCAAATCTTTGGGTTGTCTGTAGAAATTTCACATTAGAGGTACAGAGCTGAGCCTTCAGCAGAGCAGGATCATTTTGCATATCGTATCAGATGTAAGAGTGATCTCTTCAGAGCCATCTGAAGAGCTCCTAATCCGTGCAGCCTCCCCACGGCTGGCACGGCCAGGGCGGGGGACGCAGCTGGTGTGCCCGCTGCTAAGCTGCTCCTTAGCTGTGCTTGACCTCCCCGGGGCCTCCGCGGCGAGATAGAGCTGTACTGTGCTGTCACACGGCACACGAGAGCCAGCCCCATCCCAAGATGAAGACGATGCAGAAATGAGCTGCGGACATTTTTCTACACAAAAGGTCGGGGCTCTGTGCCCGTTTCTGTCCAAAGAAGATTTATGACTATTTCATAAGTGGGTTTGCACTAAAACACACTTTGTACTAGAATTCTGCCCAGTATTGTGATCCGCAACTAGTTCATTCTGGAAATAATAATATCCTCTGGCAATAAATGAGTAGGGGTTATTTCTTAAAGAGCCTGAGGCTCTGGCAGCAGACTTGAAGTCAGCGTTGTTTACAGTTATTTGGAAACCTGCAGGCTAATGGAGCGGTGGGCCCCTCGCGCCGCTGCCAGACCGCACCGTCGCGGGGCTCCTGCCCCCGGGCGGCTTCGGCTCCTGCCTCCCCTCGGAAGGAAGTACGCTGCCCTCGGGTTTCTCTCAGCAGCCTGTTGCACTCCCAAACCAATTCCGCCCCCCCCCCCCC